GATAGATAGATAGATAGATAGATAGACAGACAGACAGACAGACAGACAGACAGACAGACAGACAGACAGACAGACAGACAGACAGACAGACAGACAGACAGACAGACAGACAGACAGACAGACAGACAGACAGACAGACAGACAGACAGACAGACAGACAGACAGACAGACAGATAGATAGATAGATAGATAGACAGACATGTGGGACATTGTTCAGTAAACAGTGTGAAACGGACCTTAATTGAGCCTGATTTGGTGTTCAGCCTGATAATCAGTGACAGTGAGTGACAGGAATCAAAACAGAGGGTGAAACAAGATAAAGTCACTGTACGGACAGCCATGACAACTTCCTACATGAACGCTTGTCTGTATGACGCCCTGAGAGAGTATGAAAATGATCTCTGAATCACTGAGACAGACAGTAGTTCATCACAACGCTCCAAAACACACGGCGGCAATTGAAAAGGGCCTCCCACACGGACTCTGACTAATATCTGGCACCCATAGACAGGTGAGCTGTCAGGTATTCACTCTGGCACTTGTTTAAAATGTGACCTTTGCAAGTGCTGGGACCTGTCACAAAAATCCAATAAGCCCGGGGAGTGAGAGGGATTGATATGGCGTGGGGAAAATTCTTCAGTGAGTGGACGTGGCAGCTTTGTTGCTAACAGATACATTTTGGGGTATAATTAAATGCTCAAAGTTATCGAGAAGCCTTCTGGGCTTCAGTCATTTAGAAATGGCTTTGCTAAATGGGTGATTAAACAAAGGACGAACAAACAGAAATATAATTTAGAGTGGGAATGTCGCCTAAGGAATGTGCCCTGAATGTTCTATAGGATCCTGTAGCTCAGGTGGTGAAGAATTGGACACAAATGTCAAAATTAATAAATGTAAATGTAATCCTAATGGGAATCAAATAAGATTCTACTGGATAAATAGAAGTTCCATATGGATTTATATTTATTCTTATTTGATTCTAAGAGTCATGTTGGGAGTTGATTGATTGGTTGATTGATTGATTGATTGATTGATTGATTGATTGATTGATTGATTTATTGATTTATTTATTGATTTAACATTTAAATTTAATTTAGATTTATTTAAATTAACCTAAATTAAATTTAAAAGTGTGTTTGAATATTAAATTTAATATATTTATTCTAATACATTTTATTTTAATTTAACTTTATACACATTTAAATTAACTGAATTGTATTTCTTTCTTTATTTATTAGTTTGTTTGTTTGAATATTTTAAAGTTCACATTTAATTTGACTTTATATACATTTAAATTAACTTTTATTTATTTATTTATTTACATTTGTTTGTTTGTCTAAATATTTTAAAATAAAATGTATTTATTTATTTATGTATCTATTTATTTATTTATTTATTTATTCATTTAACTTAACATTCACTTAACTTAACATTAACTAATACATTCATTCATTCATAATTTAACCTGATTTTAATTAACTAAAACATTTTTGTTTTATTTTATTTATTTATTTCTTTTTTATTTTTTTACCATCTCTTTACTAAATGGTTAAAGGACATCTGTAGGAACTGTAAAATCTATCAGGCTTTTCTTTCAATTTATTTTGCTATCCTACAACGGCTTTTTATCCTTTTGGTAGTTATGACAGTCCTTTTGGGAACAGGATATGGGAACTAAAGGATCAGGTTTTTGTTTTGTGTTGTGTTAGAATCGTGAGAATTTCTATTACAATCCTTTAGGATTTGTTGCCAATTATGACAGAAATCGGGGTTGAAGAAATAGCGTTTGCTATCTGCTCCCTATCATTTCCCAGTCTTTGTCAATAAAAATGGCGAAAAAGCAAATGAAAAAAAAAAACATTTGTGCAATATTATATGTGCATATTCCTTTGGTATTTTGGCTACACTCTTAAAAATAAAGGTGCTTCACGATGCCATAGAAGAACCTTTTTGTCTAAATGGTTCCATAAAGAACTATTTATTTATTTATTTATTTATTCATTTAACTTAACATTCACTTAACTTAACATTAACTAATACATTCATTCATTCATAATTTAACCTGATTTTAATTAACTAAAACATTTTTGTTTTATTTTATTTATTTATTTTATTATTATTTTTTTTTTACCATTTCTTTACTAAATGGTTAAAGGACATCTGTAGGAACTGTAAAATCTATCAGGCTTTTCTTTCAATTTATTTTGCTATCCTACAACGGCTTTTTATCCTTTTGGTAGTTATGACAGTCCTTTTGGGAACAGGATATGGGAACTAAAGGATCAGGTTTTTGTTTTGTGTTGTGTTAGAATCGTGAGAATTTCTATTACAATCCTTTAGGATTTGTTGCCAATTATGACAGAAATCGGGGTTGAAGAAATAGCGTTTGCTATCTGCTCCCTATCATTTCCCAGTCTTTGTCAATAAAAATGGCGAAAAAGCAAATGAAAAAAAAAAACATTTGTGCAATATTATATGTGCATATTCCTTTGGTATTTTGGCTACACTCTTAAAAATAAAGGTGCTTCACGATGCCATAGAAGAACCTTTTTGTCTAAATGGTTCCATAAAGAACCTTTAACATCTGAAGAACCTTTCTGTTTGACAAAAGGTTCTTTGTGGCGAAATAAGGTTCTTCAGATTACAAAAAGGTAAGAAAGAGATGGTTCTTTAAAGAACCTTTGACTGAATGGTTCTTTGTGGAACCAAAAATGGTTCTTCTATGGCATCGCTTGAAGAACCTTTTGAAGCACCTTTATTTTTAAGAGTGTAGAGTAAAACACAGAAGTAAAAATGCTAGCAAAAACTCTTTTAAAATGTCATGATATGTATTAATTCTGGTATTTGGCACGCACTGACAGTGACCAGGGAATTTAGAGGGCTTTATTAAAACAAAAGTGCAGAGCAGTGCTTGGGAGACAGCATGTCCGCACATTTTCCGCTGGTGTTCTGCCGAGTCATTCACTTGCTCCGGTGTGGATGTGCCCTCCGCGTGTCTCAAAGACAGTTTCAATAAGAGACTGTCCTCAGCTGGGCTCTGCCCCTGCGCCCGGACGTGTTTATCCCTGCACGTCCCCTTGCTGCTGTAATTACCCCTCCAAGATGTCATTAGCTTTAATGTGGCTGCGCAGGCAAATGGAAGGTCATCCAGAGACAAACGGCAAAGGATGGAGTGTATCAAGGTGGCCTGAATTACTAAGTGATAGAGAGAAAGACATGGCAGATAGTGAATAAGAGACAGAGAGACACTTCAAATCAAAACGGGAGTTTGTTGTCATCTGTATGGTAGTGTATTTCTAAAAGCTGAATAAATTCACTTATATGCATTTAAAGTATTTCTTTAGCAGGAAATGGACTAATATTAATAACCACATTTTTGTCAAGTAACGTGCTCTGACTAGCACTAGAAGTAGCAATTCATGGTTCCTGGCTTTATATAGTTTTTATTAATTTTATAAATTCATTTCAGTGTTTGTTGTAATTATTTGTGACCCTGGACCAAAAAACCAGTCGCATGGGTATATTTGTAGCAATAGCCAAAAATACATTGTATGGGTCAAAATTATCGCTTTTTTTATTTTATGCCAAAAATCATTAGGATGTTAAGTAAAGATCATGTTCCATGATGATATTTTTGTAAATTTCCTACTGTAAATATATCAAAAATGTATTATCAGTAATATGCATTGCTAAGAACTTAATTTGGACAACTTTAAAGATGATTTTCTCAATATTTTGATTGTTTTGCACCCTCAGATTCCAGATTTTCAAATAGTTGTATCTCGGCCAAATATTGTCCTATCCTAACAAACCATACATCAATGGAAAGCTTATTTATTCAGCTTTCAGATGATGCATAAATGTCCCCTTATGGTTTTGTGGTCCAGGGTCACATTTTAGTACATCAAGTAAAATTAAATGAAAATAAGAAATTATGTGTTGGCTAAAATAAAGCTAAAACTAGCTAAAATAAAGTTTTGTTTTGTTTTGTTTTGTTTTTCCAGTTAAATTTTTTTTTTTAATTAACAGAAAATAATTTTTAAATATTAAAAAACATATATTTGTATTTTATAAATAAAAAAAAAATATATATATAATAAATTATCAACGTTTCAAAAAGTAAATAAATAAATTATCTGGAAAATGTTTACTTTGTATCAAATTAAAAGTAAAAAAAAATGGATTTAAATAAATAAATAATTTACATATAACTTTTAATCTTAATGTTAAAATCGTAATCTTTATAATCTTAATCTTAAAGAGAGAGAGAGACGTGCTTCTGCAGTGTGGCTCATAATTCTTACACTCCTGCCAGGATTTCCAAGTTCGTCCGTCTCTCCATCGCACTAAGTCACATGCTAATGCAGTCAGAGGGCAGTACATTTGGAATAATTTGGCTTTTTGTCTGCGAGCAGCAGTTGGCTCTAACTGGAGGAAGGTCTAGTTCATACAAACACTTTAACACAGAGATATTAGCTTTTCCCATTACATTAGGAGAAGGAGTTTACACTCTATGAGTGAGCGAGTGGGAAATACTAAAGATTCTAGAGGTCAGAAGGGCAAGAACAGTATAAACCTACAGTATTCAGTGTGTTTGCTAAGGCTGCCATCATTATTATTATTATTATTATTATTATTATTATTATTCAATACTATTTTATAGTTTTTATTAGTTATTTATTAAATGAATCAATTATTCAGATAATACAAATATTTAATAAAATACTGATATTAACTCTATTACATTGCTGTTAGTATAATTGAGATACTATTATAGTTTTTAATCTATATTATTTTCTGAAAAACAAGTTATTTAGTAGTTATTGTTTTTAAATAAATAAATAAATACATATATATATATATATATATATATATGTATTTATTTATTTATTTAAAAACAATAACTACTAAATAACTTGTTTTTCAGAAAATAATATAGATTGTGTGTGTGTGTGTGTGTGTGTGTGTGTATGTATGTGTGTATTTTTTTTCTTTGAACCTTAAAAAAACAAAATCATGTTAATATGCAAAAATCCCTTTCTTAAAGAGTATCTTTGTGTTTTCCAGTTTTAAACTCATTTAAATATCCTTTAAACAAGATAAGTTTACCTAAGAAGCAAAACTGCAAGATATTAAGGCTCATTTTCAGAGAACTTATCTTTTAAAACTGTAAGGGTATTTTATAAGGGCACTGGCATATTTTATTTATTTATTTATTTGTTGTACTTTTTTTTAACCATAAGCAGGTGAAAAACAAGGTTTATTCAAGATACATTCTCTGAAAACAAGCTTTAATATCCAACGCAGTTTTGCATATGTAGCTTGTTTTAAGGACATTTATAGGAGCTTTTTTTTTTTTAGCCTTAGCATAACATACAGACACTCACTTCAAGAAGTTTAGTTCATGTTTAAGTGTTAGCAAGGTACTTGAGAAATAATTATCAGATATATTTCACCTTTATATCTGTGAGAACATTAACTCACACCCACCGCTCTTAACAGCAGTCAGTGTGAGCGCCAGACCCGCATACAGGCCAGCGACGGCAGAGCCACTCTCTAACATTCAGCCTACACACATACACACACACACACACACAGGCACAGATGCTAAACATGGTGTACTGTACAGATATGTCTGGTTTCAACGGGACACAGCTGTATGGATTTGGATTGTGCAAATATGAAATATAGTTCAGGGCTAAAGTATCTATTCCCATGGTGTCACAATGCATAATGCAGGACATGCAGTGTTGTTCCAAATCTATCTGTTTGCAGCTGGATCATAAATGAATCAGTTATTAAGATAATACAAATAGTTTATGAAATATTGATATTAACTGTTTGTTACATTTCTATTGCTATATATTCCAGAGGTCCTTTTTTTGTATTATTATTATTATTATTATTATTATTATTATTATTATTATTATTATTATTATAAGAAACATATTTTTAATTAAATTAAAATTTATTCGAATAGCACGATTCATAATAAATATTATTGCAAAGCAGCAAAAAAAAAAAAGATTTATTATTTATTATTAGTAGTAGTAATATAATAAAGCACTTTTCATGATTAAATATTGTTGCAAAACAGCATATAAAATAAAATATTATCTGGAAAATATTTACTTTGTATCAAGTTACCAGTTTATTATTATTATTATTATTATTATTATTATTATTATTAATAATAAACATTAAAAGATGACTGTAATGAGTTGAATTTTTGTTATCTTTGACAGAGGCAGGATCCCGTGGCCTGGGGGCCGGAGTTTGCTGCTATGTCTCGTGATGTGCTGAACATTCGCTACACCCTCCTGCCGTATTTGTACACACTGATGTATGAAGCCCACGTTCACGGAAACACTGTGGTCAGACCGCTGTTGCACGAGTGAGTGTTCACCAGTACTCATGTTTCTCTATAGTTCACCCACTAATGAAAATCATTTTGTCATCATTTGCTCCCCCTCATGCAATTTCAAAACCATGAGTTTTTAAAACAATTAAAAAAAAAATGGATGCGACATTTTAGAAACCTTTTTTATTATTATTTATCTATTCAAACTTTAAGGGAACATTCCATTTTATCATTTTGTAAACATTATGAGAATGTTTCTTTTGAATGTTCCCTGAATGTTCTGAAACAATAGTAACATTTAAAAAATCTCAAACATTCTACTAAAACATTTCAGAAAAATATTCCATGAATAAATTTACAAAAGTGATTTTATATACAAAGAAAGCATATTAAATCAAGTAAAGTGTCTACTTTAATGTTTAAAATGGCTTTTGTGAAAATAAAATGTCAAAATATGGGTGAAATAATGTTCCATTATCATTCCGCATAAGAGATTTATTTATATACAAATTAAACAACATGCTTACATATTCTGACCTGTACTTATTAAAATACATAAAAGAATAATTGATCATACTACATTTTATTATAGTTTAAATTATTAAATCTTACAAATGGTTAAAACCTAGTGGTTTGAAGGATAGTAACAAAGATAGGTAAAGATTTAAAATTACAGTTAATTCTTTTTTTTTTTTAAGGCTGCACTGTGATCCTTAAATAGAGTCTTTTAATGTAATTTAGTGATTCTTGTTCTGAATATGCCTGATGGGATTGTTTGGTATATGAACTAATGTTACACTGAAAGACATTTTAGTAGGTATTCTGTAAATGTGTGATAGTCATTATTTGTTTGCTGAGAAAGTAAATAAATAATAGTAAAAGTGACATAATTCTAATGTATGGGGGGGGCAACAAAATTTAAACCTCTATTAAACTTCTATTGTTTTGATGCTTGAAAACCAATTTCCATCTTTGACTCATTTAATGTTTTTGTGCTAACATTTGGAGAGCATTATAAGACCAGATAACTTTGAACAAACATTCTATTGACATTATTGGAAGAATTGTTTTTCATAACTTTGAGAGAACTTTAAGGAAAAACTTTAAGGCTTGTGAGTAAATGATGACAGAAGTTTCCTTTTCGTATGAAATATCCCTTTAAGACCTTCATTCATGTTCTGCTCCTCTCTTCCCTTCCAAATATATCTTCATTACACCATCTTTTCTTTCTGACGCTATTTTCAGTCCATCCTCTCGTTTCAATTACATTTCCCCCAAAGCATCATGGGAATGACTAATCAGAACTCGGGCCTCTGTATTGGTCTTATATTCCTGTATCTAATGATTTTTTGTAGCCTGCTTTGGTATCGTTGCTTTGTCCCGTCTAACCTTCCTCTTCCACGCTGTTTTTAGCAGCCTGATCTATTGGACTGAATGTACTATTTTGTTCAGCATCTCAACCTTTGCATGTTTTCATTTCATGCTCTAAACCTCTCTCAGTTTTACTCAGTTTTTTTCTCTCATGAACTGCATGTACACTGTTGAGTGGATGATGTTCTCAATGCTGTGTTCTGTACTGTAGGTTTGTCACTGATGAAAAAACATGGGACATCGACCGACAGTTCCTCTGGGGTCCCGCTCTTCTAATCACACCTGCTTTGGACCCGGTATGAACACAAAAACACCCTGGCTACGGTCACACTACAAGCCAAAGTATCCAGTAGTTCATTTTCAGGTTGTTTAATGTTTACATAACGCCCCTGAAATGAGCAACATGCAATTTTTTTTAAATAAAAATGTATTTATTTTTAGTTAGTATAATTTAATTAATTAATAATTTAAATTAATGTATTTGTATTATTTACTAATTATAATTAGTACATTTTAATTATATTACTTAACTTACTATTTTAATATTTAAAAAATTATGCATACTAAATATTTTAGTAAGTATATAGAGTATATACAGTATATATATATATATATATATATAGTGCAAAATGTTTTTTTTTATTTTTTCTCATTGATTTTGTTCTGTGAAGGGTGTTACTGTGGTCAGGGGATACGTGCCAAATGAGCGCTGGTATGATTACCACACGGTAAGCATTTTACCAACATGCAAGTAAGCATTTTATTGGTAAGCATCCAAATCTTTACTAACAAGATTTTAATTGGATCTCAAATAAACAACCAATCATAATGAAGCTGGCAAACACATTCAACCTGCACTACTTTGTCATCTATATATTGGGGGCTCTTATCTGCTTGTGTGTGATTTGTCTTCCAGGGTGAAGCTGTTGGGGTGCAAGGACAGTTTGTGGATATGGATACACCGTTGACAAAAATTAACCTGCATGTGAGAGCAGGACACATCCTGCCCTGGCAGAAACCAGAGAACAACACGCACTACAGGTGAAGAGAGCCTGCATCTTTGTTAAGCCCTGTTTAAGGAGCCATTTTTCTATACTTGCACCACAAACAGTCAATTTCCCACTTCTCTCTGTGCATTTAAGACTTCACACTGTTGTTTATCAAGAAGATGAGCAAGTTTCTGAACACTGAATAATTAATCATATGTAAATGTCAGAGGTTGTATGTTATGTTTTGTTTTTTTCTTGTAGTCGTCTGAATCCTCTGGGTCTGATTGTTGCTCTAAATGATGAAGGTGTAGCACATGGATCCCTGTTCTGGGATGACGGAGAGGGAATCAGTGAGTTTTGCTTGTGTGTGTGTGTGTGTGTGTGTGTGTGTGTGTGTAGGGATGGGAATCATGAGGAATTGAATGGTTTTGATTTCTCTTGATGCTTCCAGTTCCATTAATGATTTATTCAACCCAGGTTCATTGGAAATATGTGGAAATATGACATTGATAATACTTTGTTGCACTGTATTGCGATGCTTTCAAAGTGAAGTGTTCAGCAAGTAGCTTTTATCCAAAACAGACAAATGCAACTCTTGCAACTTTTTATTAAGTTGACTGTACATATTGCGGCAGTTCGGAAGTGAAATGTCCAGTGAATGGCACTAATAGTTTAATGTTCTTGGGGTGGAAAGTAACATACTACCTACACTAAGCCCCACCATAAACATATCCAATATTGTTAATAAAAGTGATAAAAACACATTTTTCTCTGCAGTGCAATGCTGTACCGGGTGCGCTTCCGAGCAAGTTAACTACATCAGAAAATCCATACATATGGAGCTAGTTATGTGATGCGAATGTCAAAATGTGTTAATTTACAAATCACATACTATGGTAAAAGCATTCTGAGGTCATTACATCATATTGTGCAAAGAAACATGTGAAAATAAGTCTCGATTAATCACTGATCTGCCCCTGTAATCATAATTTCTTTGAAAAGGATTAAAATTTGGTACCGTATTACCGCACTAGTGTGCACTGAATTGTATGTATAGGCATGTTTTTGGATTTTAGCAAAACTGTAGGAAGAAGCACATATTTCCAATGAGCCTATGTTGGATTTATTACTTTTTTGTTGTAGCAAATTGCTAACATATTCTAATTTAAAATCTCAGCATTAGAAGCAATTAAAGTGTGTTCTTAAAGCTTACCGTTATATATGCAGCATATTAGTTTCTGTATTTGTTTGAGTACGAAGATAATTTATCACATTGTTTTAAAATACTGTGCTTCTTTTAATCTTTTTTCTTTCTCCTAACAGATACTGTTCAGAATGGGCGATACCTCTTGACAACTTTCTCTGTGTTTGATGTACGTTAATATGTTTTGAAGAAAGCTAAGTGTGCAGTTCTTTCAGATTTATTTGGATTGTGGTCATTGAATCCAATAGGGAATCCAAGATTGTCCATCTCACTTGAAGCCAAACATCTGTGGCCGCTCTCTATTTATGAACAAATCCAGATCCAAAACTGTTTCATGCAGTAGCAGCTCAAGGCCACTTGGCCCAGGTCAGAGCTCTCTGGACGTCCTGTGTGTTTGATGTCATATATGCTGAGATTATTTGAGCGGTGGGGAAAACATGGCCCTATGGAGTTGAGAACTGTTTGTAAAACGAGGTCAGATTCAGCTAGTTTGAGTTGTCTCGGCACAGATGTTACATAAATACTGAAACAACACAATTTTCTGTTATTATTCATTCTGTTCTAGTAAGATTAAAGTGAGTTCATCTCAAGAAACGGGTCATACGTCCAAGTTTGAATTTTCCTCACACATATTCATTACTATAATGTATCTGGATGTTTTACTGTCAGCAGTTATCATATTCAACAGCATTTTTGTTCATGCTGTAAATGGGCATGTGTGTGTAACAGCTGTGCTGTGTGATTATGTTTATAGCGTACTCTTACCAGCGAGGTTTCCGTAAATGGGCTGGCCGAGGCTGACAGACTGACCCTGGGTGTCGTGAGGGTTTGGGGTGTAACAGAGGAATTCTCTCAGGTTACCATGAAAGTGGCTGGGAAGCCTGATGCCATCTTGGAAAACAGCTATAACCCTGAGGTGAGATGCTTCATGCAAACATATACTTTAGCCATTCATATACCATCATACTGTCAGAACCACAGATACAATTATGAGAGATGATACCTTTTATGTGGACGACAAGAGGCGCTGCTTGAAAAATAAAAGCAGTTTTATTTTTATTCAGTTTTATTCATTTGAAAATAAATAAGTAAATAAATCATTACTCATGCAATGTTTAAAAAAAGTAAACTACCAGGTAAATAAATAAATTATATTTAATAATTATTTTGTTTAGTCATTTTTAAATGCAGCTTTTAAAATGCATTTTTTTAATTGATTGTTCTTGAAGCTATGTATTTGCCAGTTTATAAAAATGATAGATTTTAGTAAATATATGCAATAAAATATTTTCATGTTTTAAGAGATATTACTTTCATGAGAATGAGGAATGTATAAATACTTATATTATTTATATTGAAAATTATGTATACATTATGGAAGTGTTTGTTTGCTTCTTTAATTTATCCTGGTCAAATTTCACCCCAAAATCAATACAAGGAAATATATAATTATATTTTATTTAATTATTTTTTTAAAGAGACTTTAATATTTTACTTGTAACATTTCTAAGGTATATTATTTTAGTAACAAAACAAGAATATTATAAATAATTATATAATTAAAAAAAAATAAAA